AGAAGGTGGGATCTAGAAGGTGGGATCTAGAAGGTGGGATCTAGAAGATGGGATCTAGAAGATGGGATCTAGAAGATGGGATCTAGAAGATGCTAGAAGATAGGAGGGCAATGAGAGGAAGCTGAGGGAGAAGAAGTTCAGATTTCTTACTAGGGCTAGAGAGTGGGGGTACTGGCCACTCCCCTTGAGTTGGGGCTGGTCTCATCTAGTGTACACTGTGGTCCCTGCACGTGAGCACATGGACATGCAATGGAGAGAGAGACTTGACTAAAGCCTCCTGTATCTGCAGGAGCCAGATAGAGGGAGTCAGGGATGTCAGGGTCCTACCCCAGCTATATGACATCAGGTGTCAAAAAAGGAACCTGTTACTTTAAGGACAGGTGCTGTGTGAGTCCCAGGCTCCTGTGGAGGGGCTGCTCACCATTGGCTCGTTTGGGGTTCTGGGGTTGGAGTTAGGCTGCTCCAGACCTAACCCCAGACCCAGTCCCAACCCCACACCCACACCCAGACCTGGCCCTGGCCCTGGTCTCAACCCCAGGCTCAGACCCAGACCCAGAGGCTCATGGCATCTTAACTTCACTAATCTTCAGGTGACCCTCCTCCTCTCTTTCCCCAGGTGTTCAAACAGTGGTCCAAACGCCAGATCGAGCAATCCCAGCCCCAGGTGTTTGTCATCAATATTTCAGCATTCAAACATCTGTCTAAACAACACCTATGAAATATGAATGGGTTGAGGTTTTAACAAGCAGATAGAGGACACCGCAGCAGGAGCATGAGGAAGAGAGAGAGAGAGGTTTGGAGGGAACACCGGGACCCCGGCCATGTCCCTGCAAGTCGTTCTGGGACATGAGACCAGGTGCTCTGCATGTGTGGGCTGGACACCACAGTTCTGAACATGGCTACGCTAGGGGTTGTGACTGCAGTAGGCAGGCTGGCGCTTGACAACCCAGGGCCCGGGAGGGGACCAGGGGAGAAAGCTGTGTAGTATATAGCTTGCTCAGAATACCCAAAGGCCATTCCTGCTGCTCAAGGAGAGGGCGTGGGGCTTAGGCAAGTGTCCCAGGTCCCTGGGATCTGAAGAGACAGGAAGGTAGATGGGAAACTGGCTTAGCTCTTGCTCTTCCTTCTGACCCCCTTCCAGGAGTCAAAGCCCTGCTGGGTACTTAGGTGTGGAAACTGGTTCTGGCTTGCCTCCCACTCTCACAGCTGCCCCCTTTCCTCCCCCCACCCCCATGTCTTACTCCTTATGTTCCTGCTCCTTAGCCTGGACAGGGAGATGTTGAGTCTGAGTAAAACAAAGGCTCACAGTCTGAGCACACCCCCGCTTCAATGGCCTTCATCTCCAGGAAGCTCACCCTGAATTCCTGACTGACTGACAGGCCATATATACCTGAGATAATGGGTCCCAAAGCCTCAGTTTCTCAATGCAGAAAATGAAGGGTCCAGGTATGACACTCTTTTTTCTCTGAGGTGTCTTCCATCCCTGACATCCTGCAGGTCTAGAGTTTATAAAAGACTCCCACTCCCTCCACAGAGACCCCAGGGTCAAAGTTTAGGCTTTCTGTACTCGGAGAAGCAAACAGCTGGCGCTATCCTTACTAAGCTGATACGCTGTGATCTACACAGGCCCAGCTGTACATCTCACAGGGTCCTCAGCCTACAGGGATAGTGACAGAGGAGAGACCAGCAAGATCAACACTGGGAGCTGGCAGGTTCCAAGGGGCTGGCATGAGACGGAGAGGAAGAGACAGGCACCTGCTTTTCCATGTGTTCTGGGGAACATAGGCCGATTTGAACCCTTTAGAAAGGCTTGGCACAGCAGTGACTGGCTAGTGATAGAGCAAGTCTCTGTGGCCCTAAGTGGAGTTGATTCCCAGATCCAGAATCAGCCTAGTTCCCTAGCCAGGGAGCTGGGGGAGCCATCCCTGGGGATCTCCAGCACTGGGGCTGTGCATATCCTTAGCACAAACCAGGGCGTTCCTCCAAAGCCACTTGTGTAGATTGTGTAGGGGCTGTCTGATAAAGACCCCTGACCTGGCATCTCCCTGCTTGGGGACCTAGACAGAACTAAGACAGTAACTATAGGATCAGTAACTCCAGGGCCAGCATCTGAATTAAGGGAGGGCTAAAAGACCCCACACCCAACCATGACATGGCCCATTGTCACACAAGAAAAGCATCTAGGGCAGCCAGGTGGGTCAGTGGTAGCCACTCTAGACTCACCCTAGGAGGCTACCTGCTTCTCAGCCCAGGCCAGAAACAGACAGCAAGATGGATTCTCACTGCTTTCAGAGTAAAAGCCCTTTATCTCAAGCCCACCCGAGAGATTGACAGGGTTGATGATATCTGCTGATTTCCCAAGCTTGCAAAATTAGTGGGGGTAGCTCGTGGGGGTTTTTCTGTAATTCTTGGCTGATGGATTAGGTGGTGGGGCAGATCTCTTGGGGAGCAAAGGGTGACCTTGGAAAATGTGGATTCTATCAAAAGGGGAGAGCAGTAATCTCCCTTCCTCACACAGGCTGTCAATAAGCCTCCTCAGTGCCAATGCGGTGGACGGAAACTTTGCTCACTGCCTAGCCTAGCGGCTCCGGGGCTGTAGCATTTGACTGCGTGATAAGAAATTGCCAGGCACTTTCTAATTACAATTATCATCATCGTGGATGTCTCTCTTAATTACTTTCTTATAATTAGCTGTTGCTTTCCCCCCTCAGCATTTGTATACTTTGCAGATTTGCTGACATTTGAGAACCCCAAAATAGGGATGTTTGAGGAGGGGGGGTGGGAAGGTGGGGGCACAGAGTCTGCCCTTGCCAGGCAGCCTGCTATATGAGGGGCTTTACTGGGGAGAAACTGGAGCCAGCCAAAGATGGAAGGGGCAGGCTTGCTGAGCGGGTGTGGCAGGGGTTCAGGAATGTGATAAGAGGCTCTAGCACTGTACAGGCACCACAAAGCAAACACTGAAGTTTTTATATTTTTAGATTCATTTTGCCTCTAATCACATGTGTATGTCTGTCTATATGAATATATGTCGTATGTATATGAATACCAGTGGAGGCCAGAAGAAGACATTGGATCCCCCGAAACTGAAGTTGTAAAGTAGTTGTGAGCCACCATGTGGTTGCTGGGAATTGAACTCAGGACCTCTGGAAGAGCAGCCAGTGCTCCTAACCACTGAGCCATCTCTCCAGACCCGCCCCCTACCCTTCACCACCATTTTTCTTTTCACTTTTTCTTCTCTTCTGTCTCTGTCTCTCTGTCTCACTTGGTCTCACTCTGTCTCTCGATCTCTTTGAGACAGGGTTTCTCTGTGTAGCCTAGGCTGGCCTCAAATTCATCTTGATCCTGTTACCTTAAACTCCTGAGTCCTGGGTTTGCAGGCGTGTATCACCACAGCTAGCCTGAAGGAGACTGCTTTATAGAAGTCATGTAGCCTACAGCTAGCCTCCAACTTACTATGTAGCTGAGGCTCACCCTAAGCACTTGATCTTCCTCCACCTCCTGAGTGCTGGGATTAGGTGTGTGGCACCAAACATGGTTTATGAGGTGCTGGGGATTCTGTCAGCTGAGCTACATCTCCGACCCCTGAAAGAGCTATTACTAAAAAGCCAGGGCTGCACTGTCTCAGGCTGGGGTTTCATTTTAAGAAGTGAGGCTGGGGCAGACACAATGCCCTTTTGTCAGAGACATTTCAGAGTTAAAACAACTCAGGTCATATTAAATTTGATGTTTATCCACCAAGCCAAAGATACATTGTCAGGGACCCCTGACAAAGTGGCTTCTGCTCTGAGCCCAGATGGCTGGTTCTCACTGTCCGCTTTTCTTCCCTCCCCACACCCTCAGCTCTGTGCACCGAGGAGTGTATGCATGGCCGCTGCGTCTCCCCTGACACCTGCCACTGTGAGCCTGGATGGGGAGGCCCTGATTGCTCCAGCGGTGAGTCTGGGGACTTTGGGTTCTGACATGGGAGGGGGTGGTGGCATGTGCAAGATTACTCTTGTTGAGTCAGGTGGAGATGCATAGGATTGTTGGAAAAAATCCAATTGCACTTGGTGAATGACAACGTTTGTTGGCGCTGAGGGCTCTAGGGGGATGGGGAGGTTTATGGGGTCTGTGAGGGTTGTGAGTGTTGAGAGTTGTGGGGCCATGTGTATAATTTTCTTTTGATGACTCACCTCTATATATGGTCTTTGAGAGCTGGGATGGACTTAGGACATTGTTTGTACCTGTGTTCAGATCCAGGTGGTCATTAGGCCTGGTCCTTGGTTTGGCTGGTCCAGAGACCCAGTTTCATGCATGTCTATGGGTGTCCAAGGGGCTGCTATGTGAGGTTAGTGGCTACCAGGATATCTATATGTTCCATGCAGTAGGAGAAGGGGACACCCCTGGGGCGAGACTCTGTGTTTCTGTATCTTTGTGTATGGAGAATACCCATTTCTCAGAGAAACATGTCTGGTTAGGAGGCACACCTGTGGATAACCCAGTGACCCATACCAACATGGTGCATTATCCTTATTGTGGCACTAGTATTTAGGGGATGTATATATGTATCAGTCAAACCTTAAGAAATTTGTTTCCAAGGGTGCAGCTGAATCCCCCTCCAACTCCTCTTCCTCCAATAGCCTCAGATAACCTCTTTCCACAGGTACATTCTGTAACCAGTCAGTGGCTTGTTTAATGCTGTGGTTCAATTGGCTTTTAGAGGCCTTGAATAGTATTAGAGCCTCATTTTCTTCCTGCTTTGAGTTGGGGTAGTCTTTTTAATGGTGACTTAGGGTGAAAATATACTTAGGCCAACCCATTATAGTTCTAAGCCCTACTGTTTATGCATCTTGGGGAGCTACCCTTATGTCCCCTAAACCATAGAGGCAGTGACCACTGTAAAACCTTAAAGATTCAAGCATCTTCTCTTGGGCCTTCCTCCTTGCTTAGCTGGGTCTGTGGAGTGTAGCATGGGTATCCTGGGTTTTATGGCCAATATCCACTTATAAATGAGTATATTCCATGCATGTTCTTTTGGGACTAGATTATATCACTGAGGATGATATTCTCAAGTTCCATTCATTTGCCATCAAAATTCATGATGTCTTTATTTTTAATAGCTGAATAGTATTCCATTGTGTAGATTACAGGCCCTGAAGGAAATTAAGAACTCCACAGGAAGACCAGCAGAGTCAACTAACCTGGACTCTTAGGGTTTTCAGAGACTGAACCACCAACCAAAGAACATACGTGGGCTGGACCTAGGCCTCCCCACATATATGTAGCAGATTTGCAGCTTGGTTTTCATGTGGCTCCCAAACTGTAGTGGGGGGCTATCTCAAAAGCTGTTCCCTGTATGTGAGATATATTCTACTAGCTAGGCTGCCTTGTCTGGCCTCAGTGGGAGAAGATGTGCCTAGCCTCACAGAGACTTGATATAGGGTGGGAATGCATGGGGGGGGGTCCACACTTGCTCAGAGGAGAAGGGGAGGCGGGATGGCGGAAGGATTGTGGGAGGGGGTGACTGGGAGGAGGGAAGTGAATGGGATATAAAGAGAATAAGTAAAAAGACCATTAAAAAAACTGTAAAACAAAAACAAAAAAACCCCAACCCCCCCCCCCCCCAAATCCCTTATAGGAATGGAGGGTTCACACACATTGGCCTGATACAGTGTGTGTGCTCTCTCCTGTTCTCTGCTGGGTCAAACAAATCTAGTTGTGGTCTTTTGATATGCAGATTTAATACAAGATGCCTATGTCTAAGTCTGGCCAGGGCGTTAAAAATACCAGAGGAAGGCAAGGGATGTGGCTTTGTCTAAAGTCTTAGCGACTCTCCTGGATCGAGGAGGGCATATCTACTTGGAGCTTCCAAGAACCCCCCTGTCATGTGTGTGGGACCCCCAAATGGCTGCACGGTCTCCTTTCCATCCACACCATTGCCTTAAAGAGATGCCGTGGCAGGGAAGGAAGGCTAAACAAGGGAAAATAAACCCGAGGGATGTGTGAAGTGGTGTGCAGCCAGGTTTCCTGTGAAATTGAATTCCAGGAAAGCACAAAGGGAAATGGCCAAGGGCATGTCCTCTGGCCGTTTCCTTTGGTGTAATTTTGCTGACAGTGGATCTTTGGGTTAGAAACATCTGACTGGAGTGAGTGAACTTGCTGGGCTGGGCCTGCCTGCTGCTGTTGCTACCTCTTCTTAAGGGTAAGGGTGGCCTGTAAAGGAAGAAATGAAACCTCCGTCTCTCACAGGCTGTGTGCTTACAGCTGCCTCAGTGCTGTGTAGACTGTGAGTCTGGGGCCTTTCAGACACTATCTTTGTTGTCTGGTGGCCTTTGATGAATGGGATTTGCTGGTGTTGAACAGATCTTACACCAGAATTAGCTTACCAAATACCAGGGTTACTTCAAAGAGCAACACAAGGATAATTCAACCCCCTGTGTCATCATAGTTAAAAACACAACTTGTCCCCTCTCCTCTAAATCCTCCTCCTGAGCTGAGGCCCATCATCTCTGAGTGACTATTGGCTCACCTGTTCCCTTGGTTCTACTGAAAGGCGTATCCTACTGGAGCCAAAGAAAATCCTAAGAGATGGGGGTTCTGGATGGGTCCCTTCTATTATTACAGTGAACAAATACCTGAGAGAGATAATCTGAGAGGATGGACGTATTTCAGCTCACAGTTTCAGAGAGTTCAGTCCATAGTTGCTTGACCAAATAGCATGGTGGTTGGAATATGTGAAAGACACCCTCTACTTCACGAAAGACAGACAGATGGGAAGGAAAGATGCCAAAGACAAGATACCCACCAGGGACTCTGTCCTTGTCACCCATTCCTCCAACTAGTCCCTACTTCCTAAAGCTTCTGCCAACTCTTAAAATAATGTCACCAGCAGGGGTAGGAGCAGTTCAGCGCATGAAGCCGGGGGCTACTTTCTACTCAGTTCATTTGGTGGGAAAACGGTATACAATTAAGGAGATTCAAAGATTCTCGCTTCGGAGCATTGAAGTGTGTCAGGCCGAGGGCATTCCAACCTTGGCTTGAATCCTTCCTGAGGAAGGAAACTCACTCCGTCCAGTGCAAGTGCATTTTGACCATTGGGAAATCCTTCATTCTCCCCAATGGAAATATTTCTCTGCTTCCTACTGGTTGGTTCTTGCTCACAAGGAAGACTAGAGCAGGCTGATGGATTGCTGTGATCTTTTTCTTGGCATGCCTGGAATTTCTCCCAAGGAACTCATTGGACTAGGCCACAGGCTATAGATACGGAGTGAGCCACCCCAGATCAGAAGGTAATAACCATTGAGGTTATGTGGAAGAAACAGGGGACCTCCTCCCACAGCTCAGCTGCTACGTTATTAGAGGACAGCCATTGATCTCCTCCCCAGCTTTTCTTCTCTGAGATATCTTATGCGACATCATTTGAGATGCCTCCTCATCCGTGGCCTGCGGCCTTTATTTCCCCTTAAATGATCATTCCTATATCCAAGCACATAACAACAGGCTTGCCTAGACCAGCATTGAAGGAGAATAACAGCCTTGCTACTGCCGGTGCTGCCATCGACTGCACTTGACCACGCACTGGACGCTTTCTTGTCTTCTTATTCCATCTTCACAGTGTCCACCAGCTGAGGAGTTCTTGGGCCTATTTTACAGATGGAAAAGACACAGCACAGAGAGGCTATAAGAAGCTCTCATCAACATGGCTAACCAGTGAATGGTGAAGCCAGGTCTAAGTAAAACCCTGGGGTCCCTGGGAAGAGTGGCAAATGTTTGTAACCAATGAGCTCTCTCCCCTGTCCCTGAAATAGACTTTCACTATGAAAACATAGTTGCACTCAGGAGAAGGAAGAGTCTGTTTATAAGCTTTGACCCCCAAGACACTGCTACTGGGAGAGGAATCAGCCAGGAAACACAAATTATTATCAGATTTGATCTAAGAGTTGGAGCCTGCTTGTATTGCAGGACATCCATCCGCCTGCTCTGCAGTGCATGGAAAAGGGTATCTCTCCAGGTGCAGAACGAGTTCCTGGAGAGCTCAGGTTGGGTCTGTACATGAGATGAGAAAGCTTTAGGTTGTTTTCAATTGGAAACATTGGACTTGCTTGGTTTGGATTTTTTTCCCATTAGTTTTTTAAGTGATACCTGTTCACACTAAAAAGAAAAATCAAAGTTTACCAAGAGCATAGACTCTGGGTCACACAGCCCGAGTTCACCTGTTCTGGCCTTTGGATAGTAGTAACCATGGCATTTCTCTGACATTTGCATGCGGTGCTAGCTGAACCTGGAGCCTGTGTGTGTGCTAGCCCAAACCTGACTCTTTTAATTCAATCCCAAGTTGTACATTCATTTCCTTGTCAATAAGCATTAATCTCCTTTAAATTTTTAATGGGCTCTCTAGACTTGCATTCTGTGGTTTACTAAGTGTATTTCAGTGGGCTTGTCTGGTGAGCATTTAGGTTGTTTCTGATTCTTCCCTGTCACTGGATCCTTTGGGCCTGTTAGATATAAAACTTGGAATTTTTGACAGTTTAGAAAGTACAGGATGCATCTGGGCTGGGACTCAGTTGGCAGAATGCTTGTCTGGCACTTATTACTGTGTGTTTATCCCTAGCTGTGTGAACTGGGCATGTTGGCTAAAGCCTCTGACCCCATTACTCCAGAGGTAGAGACAAGAGGGTCATCCTTGGTTACATAGTGAGTCTGAGGCTAGCCTGGAACACATGAGACTCAAAAAAAAATCAATAACAAAAAACCCTTTTACTATGCTATTGGTTTACCCCTTGACACTAGGTATACCCCAAAGTCAACATATGCCCTAAGGAATCCTTTGACCTGTAGTTGATGAAAATTCCAGAATTCAGAGCACAGGCAGAGGAACCTAAGCAGCCTTGAGGAGGAACACTGCACTGAACCTGAGCTTGGCTCTCTGGCAGGGGCCTCCCATGCCCAATGTG